AGGTTTTTGTAATACATAAGAGCTGCCTGACATTGCAGCATTCGTTCTCTACTGCTATTGCCTAGCAGGGCTAAAAGCACTGACGTCTTTTACAGTTCTGCTATTGCCATTATCCATTTCAATGGGGTTTAAATGTAAAAGTGAAATTGATGGTGTTAGAGCATGAATTTCAATCACGCTAAGAAAGAAGGTATTGATGGGAGCTAGCAAGGGAGTTCTGGACAAAAATACTGCAGGGAGAAGCTGAAAGGCTGATTGCTGTAAGCCCAGTGACTGTGTTATAAAGTTACAGATCTACCTCACAGTAAAAGATATCAGCCCATGTTGCATGACTAAGGATGAGGTGAATTTATCCTTGTTAGTATTATAGCAACAGTCTCCTTCCTCCTTGCTGAGGTGGGACTTCATGGGAAAAAAACTCCAAGTCTTCATTCAGCTTTTTATCTGAGATTTAAGGTGCCCCTTCTCATTCATCTTTGTAGTCTGGGTGATTTCTTGTGGCTACAAACTACCGTGCTTCTGGTAAAAAACATACCTTTGTAATTGTAGTGCAGTGAGTCTTTACGGAGCAGTAGAAGAGATACTTTGTGCCATACAAATTATAAAGAACACAGTAACTCAGGGTTAGCAAAACTAATGAGAAAGAGGCAAGGCTGTTTCGCAAGAGCTTAATGAGTTGGATTTTAACTTCCACAGCAGATAACCAGAGCTGTGAGCAACCTTGGCACAAATTGAAAACAGTCACAAAGTGTTATGTGGTCCATTGAAACACCTCTGGCACAGCTATTGCTCTGACCCCTGCTTGGATTCAGGCAAACATGCACGGCAGAGTTTCCTCTGGGGCTGTGGTCAGTTCTTCCCTTGCCTGCTTCTGCATGCCCCATGTCCTAAGGCTTAATGCCATCACCAAGAAGCATGCAACTTTCTGAGAAACACAGACATGTTTTTGGGATCTCCACATTTATCTTGGGTTGCAAACGACTGAAAAGGGTTGTGTGATGTTGTGATTTATTTGTATTTGTGCTTCTATGACAGCAGCATGCTCTGTACCTGTTTAACTGGTTTAAATCAAATTTAAATGCTAAACAAGCTTAAAACAGCAGAGTTACTCAACAGAGCTGTGGTCTGAATTACAGAATTACAGATGAGCTTATAAAGAAGAAAATGAAATTATAATGTTATATTTCAGACTGTACTCCACAATAAAAATCCTTTTTAGCTTTTATCATATTTCAGCTATCTGGAGGGAGAAAGGGCAAAGAAAGGGATGATCTTCAAAACAGAAGCCCTTCTGCCTTCTTCAGTTTAATGTTTCCAAGCCTACTGTGTCCCTGAAAACTATCCCTCCTAGTTTGAGTGACTGTCTTACTAAGCAGAACCTTTTGTGCAAGGCTTTCTCAATCATGTCCATAAGCATAACATTTTGTAAGGTCCTGTTACTCCTAGGCAATAATCATGACACAGTCATTATTAACAGGGTGGATTACAAACTTAGCATTTAGAGTGTTCTTTCTAAATAAATTCCCTTTCCCACTTCCTGTTAGTTTGGTCTCCCATAGAATCTACTCTGCAGTTTAAATTGCAGCCTCAATTTCCTCCATCTACTTCTTGCTAAGCCTAAAGTGGGAGAAAAAGGCTTATAGGATCAATATGTTCAAACCATTACAGGGAAGATATGTGACTATGTGGCCAAGAAATTTTGAGGCATAGTGACTGACAAAGGTTCTTAGCAAGCAACGATAATAATGTGTATAAAGTGGATTTTTATTCAAGATTTCCTTAGGGATGCCCTTTATTACCAAAAGATGCTGTTTGGTGATAAAAATAATTATGGATGTTTAGCAAAACATTTCTGTTGTACTCTTAATAAAATGTCTTTTTCCTCTGCAAGAGTTTTGAGATCAATATGTACCAATGTGTGAAAACATGATTTTATCTTTATAAGAATTTGTTATGAGCAGTCTTTGAAATGCCTCTCTCAAGCTGCAGGTTTCCCCATTCAGTCTGCGCTGTTTCTTGTTTATCCTCTTGCCAGTAGCATCTGCAGCCAAGGCTTTCTGCAGAGTCAGATCACAGCATCTGAAATGCAGTGTCCCTCCTTAGTCAGGGATGTCTTCAATAGACTAGATGTAGGACTAAATAAAAATTGATTTTGTTCAACAAAATGGCCACATGCATTTCAATGCAAACACATCCCCCTGGTCCCACAGTTGTACTCAGTAGTGGTAGTCCTACTTGGAGAAGTGTACTGTGGTGATGGTTTGACATTCTTAGCCATATGATTGGATCCTGTTGGGTAAGCCCACAGCCAATACCAGTTCTAAAGACTCTGAAATCTGTATTTTTCTTTAAAAACTAAGAAAGTGAGATCTTCTTCTCTGACTATACAAAGGGATGGCCACATAGAGGTGACAATGTATTCCCTGTAAAGGCAAACCTCAACTTTGGTTATGCACTGTCACGGTTAAGTGTTTAACCCAGGGTGATCACAGCACTGCAGACTGAGTCTACATTAAACTGCACTTAATGCTTTCAAGTTTCTGAGATCATTAAAAAGATAAAATGCTGCAAACTAAATAGTTGTTTCATGTAGCAGGTCTTACTCTTATTTATTGAATTGCAATATTAATGATAATAATATCTGGTATTGCAGTGGAGGCTACGGTTAAGGGACTGGGGTCTCGTAGTGCCAGGACTTGGCAAAATAAAACATAAGATCCTTTCAACAAAGCGTTGTCAATGCATCAGTGGAAGTGATTAGTTCAGGTAGGTGTCTTAACTTGTAGTTCTTGAGCTGTGTGAGGCTCACAGAAGGTGGAAGTGTGGTGTGAACATGGGATTTGTGTGCAGTGACAGCTGGCTGGGTGATGCTGGTCCATAACCAGCATCCCCGGCCAGAGGAGGAAGGCTGGCAGCAGAGCCCATTGTGGCTGTGCTGTTTGGCTGGATGATGACACAGCTGCATACTCACCCTGGTATCTGGGGTGGAGGCGGCTGGGGAGCCTTTGTCAATGAAAAGATACTTGTCTCCATTAGTACTTGAATTTTGTGTTCTTTGTGGTTTAGGCTTATAACTTGGGTAATACTTGGAGAATGTAAAGGCAAGAGGCTAACACAATTTAGAGAGATATGCAAGGCTTTCTACAAGGTTTTTCAGGGCAGCTGAACTGGCTCCTTAACAAGGATTGCATTAATATATTCCTGACTTTTTGTCTTAAGTCCTGCTCATTTCATGTGATTTTATTCAGTAAGTGGGATAAAACCTGTTTTGAGAGTCTGCCAGCATGTAGCATATCTGTGGCTCCCAAGAGAAGGAAATGTGGATCTCCAAGTGCATCTGCAAGTTGGAAAGTGTGTACAGGAATCCACCTGGATCCTGTGCTCACAGGCAAAGCACTCCTGCACACAGACCATCAGCAAGCCTAATAGTGAGGAAGCACTCTGAAAAGTGAGAGACAGAAAGAGACCTGAGAGCATGAGTGAAAATTAAATTCTAGACCTTTTTTATCTGTGTTGCTTTATCACTAGGTATGTTTTCAGAGCAAGACCTTGCAATTAATTAGCTGAGTTTTCTTGCCTATGATATGAAGATTATTGACATTTCTATAGAAATGATTAATATTCAGTCTGGAAATTACCAGTTTGTCTAAGTAGGGTAAACAGTAATACATCTTGAAAACCAGCTGACATAGTTAATTCACAAAGCTATCTGTCTATGTTATGAATGCCCGTTACATCGCCTTTTCACTGCTCACATGTGCCTGCACACACAAACACACAGAATCTCAGTTTTCCTGCAATGCATTAGAGTAAATGGAAAGCTGCTGCTTTTTCTGAAGTCTCTCTCTCATTCCGTATTCTTAAAAGAGGCAGAATTAAATGGAGGGGATGGGATTAAAATAAGGAAAGCAATAGTAGACATGTATTTAAACCTAAAGCCTTCTTCTGTTAATTCAGTTGTTCAATTTAAATTTTAATAGCGATTAATAAATTACACAAATTATAACGCTTTGAACTTGGGTGCGGGCCAGTGGTGTTATATGTCAGCAGTGTTGAGCTCTGGAGCTTCAGCATGCTCATGCATATTCATCTGGTCCTAACCAGAGCAATAATAGCATTATCACCTAGTTAGTAATCAGATAATAGAAAACTCATCTCTGGGAGTTTTGACTGGAATGAAAAATAGTTTCTTGTTGTGTTTATTAGCTGGAGTACTAAGGACTGAGCTGTGGGGAGGTAATGATTAATAATTTAATGCATTTCTGAATGTGGGTATATAAGCATCCTGATGAAGCTAGAATTAGCTGTTTCAGTCCCTCACTGGTTTACCGGGTCTCCTTTATCTTATGATAAAGTATAATTGCAGTAGAATTCTACCTTGCACAGAATGTTGACTGGCGCACTAGCTAAAGTGTTGTTGCAGTTCTTGACTATTCTTAATTATTCTATTTTTCCAGTGGAAAATACATGGGGGACTATTAGTATGTATTAATGGTGTCTGTATTGTTTAGCTTCATTTATTGGATTTTTCCTATGCATACTAGTAGACTTCTAATAGACATGGCTACATTTTCAGAAGAAATGGTTATAGTTATGTAAATTTCAAAACTAGTAAATTACATGTGAGCCAATATATGAAAGCAAAACATGTGCCTGAGGTGAGGCAGTCACCGAATTAGTGTTTTGCCCATCTGTCTGGTCTCCTATAAATTCAATGTTACTGTAGTACACCTGTATAGCAACACATTTATGTATGACTGAATGTGATAAATTAGGTACTTGAAAATAAATGTATCATTAACTTGCTCTGCCTTCTGAAACCTGACAGGCTATATCCAGAAAAACAAAAAGGAGGTAGTAGAATCAAGGTGTCAGGGGGGAAGAGGGGGGGGGGTTCAGCATAGACAACACTGTAGCATATATTGACATTAAAAGCTTCACTTTTCAGGCAGCTTCAATGGAGCACTGAAACGTGTATCTTTCCTGTCTGTCCCATGCAGGGAATTACTGGAATGCAGCTTCTTTTGTTACTTCATCATCCTACCTTCACTTCTCCACTTTCCAAGGGGAAACCAGCGCAGACATCTCCTTCTACTTCAAAACATCTGCTTCAGATGGGGTGTTTCTTGAGAATCTGGGGAACACTGACTTTATCAAATTGGAGCTGAAATGTAAGTATGTGCTTCCCATCACCCTTGGCACCTGAAGCAGGTTCATGTCAGACAGCAGGTTTCAAGTAATGTGTATCATTCAGTAAACTGTGTAAGCTCACTAAATTCTGGGGAGCACCTTCCAAATCAAGCTGCTTGACTTATTTTCAAGTTGCCTTGTGCAGGAGGCATGCTGGAAGGATATTTGGATTGTTTATTGAGGGGATAAACACAAAGAAGAATGGAACTGGTAACATCAGTTACAAAAATGACACTGACCTGAAAAGGCTTTTCAAAATTGCATGCCAGATTTATTTCTTAAAAGTGTATGTCTTCAGCTCTGTTGCTTTTCTGTTTTATCTCACGCTTGTTATGGAAATAGGGAAAAGAAAGAAAAAGAGGGAGCATCTTAATCAGCTCTTTAAGGAGCCAAAGAGCTGAAAAATTGCATATGATATTTAAAAGCCCTAAAGAATCTCATAAAAATAAATCTTTATCAGCATTATCTGTTAATAAAATCGCTGATCTGAAAAAAGAGGGCATAATGATACCAAGAGACAAGTTGATTTTATTATTTAAACCATTTTTAATGGCCCAGGGACAAACTTCCCAAGGCATGTGCCAAAATCCTCAGCTGTGCTTGAATTCTGCTTAGTGAAATTGCAGCAGTTGAATCGGGGGGTGGGGAAATGTTTCATGTCTCCTTTGTTCTCCCTCGACCAGTTTAGCCTGCCATAAATGGGAGCGGCAAGAGGCCTGCTGTGCTATGTGCGGCTGTTACTACAGCCTTTAGTGGCACATTAAAGCAGCAAGGTTGCATCCATGCAGCAAGCTGCCTCCCAGCACCAGGAAAAACATTCCTGCTTCCTCTTGCTGCAGGAGCTGCTCATGGATGCCAAAGACCCAGCTGTAAATATTGACGCACGTAAGTCAGTATCCAACGTCGCTAATGTTGGAAGAGAAGAAACTGTTTGCGTGCCCCAAATAATCTTTGCATGTAGATTCAGTGTGATTTATATGGGCCCATGTAATTTTAAAATAAAAAGGTGGTTTTGACGCTTCTCAACGTCTGAAGACAGAAATTGGAATGTGGAAACTTAGAAACCACCAGGAACTGGTTTCTAAATTTAAAATGTAACTAAATTTTCCCTCTGGGTAGGAGTGAAGTGCCAAGTTCCAAGGGGGTGAGAGCTTCTTTCACTCTTTCTGCAGGGAATTTAGATGATGTTGCTTAATCCCAGTTTTCTGTAATCCACAAATGGTGCAAATCAAAATAGCTCCTGTTGAGTCACAGTCTCTTTTTTATTAACAAGGAGTACAACCCTTTAATAAAGAAGTGGCAGCTATTTCTAATTTCACTTTGATTTAAGTAGTACAGTCAGCTGAGGTGGGCATTTCCAGAGCTTCTTGCTCTTCTACTGTATGGAAAGACGTTAGCCACTGTAGTTACCAGACCAGCCATGCTGTTAACTTAGCTAGAAGGTGACAGTAACAGTGAATAAAGGTGACTTGGTAGTGACTATAATTCTTACTCAATGCGGTTTAAATAATAATCACCTACAGTGGCTCACTGAGTAGATGCACCAGCTCCTGAAAGCCTGTGGCTGTGTACCCAGAGTATCATTAAACAGCAGTTTCATTTTAAGCCTGTGCTTGAGATGCACTGACTTTGCTGTGATCTCGCATATGCATAAATTCAACCTGTGCTTCATGTCCCTGAATCTAAACCTTAGATTACAAATTCTCGAGGGCAGAAATACGAAATTTCACCTCTTAAAACACTCTGTGAGATCAAACAGACTGGTGCTGCTTAAAGTAATAAAATACTCGTGATTAAAACTTTCCTGACTGTATTTGCTAAAAAGTACAAAGCCGTTCATTCGATGTAATTGCATTCTTTCCTGGGAACTACTGCTTGAAATTTTTAGGGCCCCAGAAAACAGGTCTTTCTGTGACTTAAATGTTCTACTGGTCACAGCTCAAAAACAGTTGAATGCTGTGGGTTTAGTAACAAAGAGAAACTCATTCTCTCTTCTGAATTACATGTTTGTTTAATGAATGTTTGTTTATACAGTTTTCATGGGGCTTTTTCATTCCAGTCTGCATTTGCTATTTTTTTTAATTCACTCAAATGTAAAGTAAAGATTCAGAATTTCAGAAGTTCCTTACATGGCTTGCAGTGGACTCTGCTGCTTCTAAAAAGTCTGTTTCCCCTTTACAGAAGTGCCATAAAATTAATATAGGAATTTATTTCTTAATAGGAACATAAAGTTAAGTCCATAAGGTAATTACCCCTTGTCCTGGGTTCAGCAGTAGCAGTCATTTTTCCCCTTCTTGGTAGCTGGTGCAGTGCAGTGTTTTGACTTTCAGCTCGGGAACAGAGCTGATAACAAGCGATGTTTTGGTTTGGCCAAGGACTTTGTGAGCCTCATGCTCTGCCAGGGAGGAGGGGAAGCCAGGAGGAAGCAGAGACAGGACACCTGACCCAAACTGACCAAAGAGGTATTCCATACCACAGCACGTCATGCCCAGGATGTGACTGGGAGTTAGCCGGAAGGGCTGGGAGACTGCAGGGTTAGGAGGTATCGTTGAGAGCTTGGTCGGGCTGGGGGGGCGAGTTATCGGTCGGCTGGTGGTGAGATGATGTATTCTCTTCCCTTGTTATTTCCTGTATCATTATTATCATTGGTGGTAGCAGTAGTGATCTGTGTTATACCTTAGTTACTAAACAGTTCTTTTTGGCGCCCAACGTGGGGCACGAAGGGTTGAGATAACGACAGATTTGACTGGATTAATAGTCACTCGTCACAATGCTGATTTATTGGCTCTCAGAGTTGTTTCGCTTGATCTCACAGCTTCAGAATGTTGTAACTTACGTAGAGCCGGTATTTGCTGTGATAGTGTTTATCAAGTATGGAGCCTGGGCTAAGGTTCTTGTCTCACTGTGCTTTATGGCAATGGCTTGTAATACGGGTGGGCTCCAGCAGCAGGGCGGGACGGACGTGGCCGTGGACTTGTACCTGGCCGTCCGGCTGCTCTTCACCGTCCTGGCCCTCACCCTACTCTCCATCTTCGTGAGGCTCCGGGAAAGCGGCCCCGGCGACCAAGCGGCGGCGGGAGCGGGGCCGGAGGCCGCGAGGGGACGGCTGCTGGTGGAGGAGGTCGGGGCGGTCGAGGAGCAGAAGGAGGCGGCTGCCGAGCAGCGGGAGAAGGCGGCGGAGGAGCCGAGCCCCGCGGAGGAGCCGAGCCCCGCGACGGCCGAGAGCACTTCCCGGAAGCCGCCCGCCGAGCCCCAGGAGGATGCAGGAGACCAGGCAGCATTTCCCAGCAAGGCGGAGGAGGAAGAGCTGGACTCCGGAAAAGAGAAGCTGGTGGTGGGAGAGCCGGCAAGCACAGCAGCTGCACCAGCCCCAGTGACAAGCACAGCAGCATCGTGTGAGAGTTCTGAAGGTTTTGAATGGCCTTTGGGTATCCTTGGGACCTGCCTGCTGATTGTGATGGGGATCAGCATGTTGGCACACATACAGACTGTGTGCTACCCACAACCATTTTGTCTGATCTCAAAAGTTAAGCAGAGTGAGGTTTGGGTCTTGTCTGGGGTTAGACGAGGATATAGGGGGACCAAGAGGTTTTCTCCAAGGCTGGACAGTGACGAGTGGCAGGGTATGTGGGACAGTATGGGCAAGCATCTAGTCCACTGGGCCCCTCCAGTGCTTTGGAAGCGTCGGAGATGGAAGGCAGCTGTATGGAATCCCCAGCAGCAAGCTGCAGAAAGTGCTTAAGGGGACAGTGAATTATTTTGAGTCTGGTCAGCCCATGGCACTTCAGGCCATCAGAGCAGAGATGCAACACAGACATGGACTCATGATCGAGGGGTGGACTTAGCAATGGACACTGTTGCCCAGGTTATTCACGAGTGTGAACACTGCACACAGTCTCTCCTGCTCTGGAAGACTGTTACAAGAGATGGAGCCTGACATCATGGACCAGATGGACACAGCAGCTTTATAGGGACAGGTCCATGCACTAAGATAAGAGTGCACCGAGATAAGAGTGATGGTATATTGAAAATGTGGGATCTGAGCATGACGTGAATGGTACGGAACAAGGGGTGGATAATGTCCTGGGTTCAGCAGTAGCAGTCATTTTTCCCCTTCTTGGTAGCTGGTGTAGTGCAGTGTTTTGACTTTCAGCTCGGGAACAGAGCTGATAACAAGCTGTTTTGGTTTGGCCAAGGACTTTGTGAGCCTCATGCTCTGCCAGGGAGGAGGGGAAGCCAGGAGGAAGCAGAGACAGGACACCTGACCCAAACTGACCAAAGAGGTATTCCATACCACAGCACGTCATGCCCAGGATGTGACTGGGAGTTAGCCGGAAGGGCTGGGAGACTGCAGGGTTGGAGGAGGTATCGTTGAGAGCTTGGTCGGGCTGGGGGGGCGAGTTATCGGTCGGCTGGTGGTGAGATGATGTATTCTCTTCCCTTGTTATTTCCTGTATCATTATTATCATTGGTGGTAGCAGTAGTGATCTGTGTTATACCTTAGTTACTAAACTGTTCTTATCTCAACCTGTGGGAGTTGCATTCTTTTCGATTTTCCTCTCCATCCCTCCGAGAGCAGGGGGAGGGCAAGAAAAGGGGGGGAAGTGAGCGAACGAATTACCTGACTGGGTTTAAACCACGACACCCCTAAACCCTGAAAAAGGTTTCCTTTGGCAAGCTGCTTTCTAGCTAACCCATCAGATTCTCTAGTAGAATCATAGAATCACAGAATAGTTAGGGTTGGAAAGGATCATCTAGTTCCAACCCCCCTGCCATGGGCAGGGACACCTCACACTAAACCATCTCACCCAAGGCTTCGTCCAACCTGGCCTTGAACACTCCCTGTTTTGTAGTAAAGGTTTCTGCATAGTGGCCATCATCACATATTTACTGCAAGCTGCTGCACTTTGGGAGGTGGCTGCGTTGCTTTTGTCTGTTCATTGCCCTCTCCTACAGGTACATTTCTCATTGAGGAAGAATG